CCAAAGTCCATGCTATCAATTAAAAGTGCTTTATGAAAGCTTTTGCCAGGCCGCTTTGGATGTGAACATGGGGCACAGGATGTTCCACATCAATCCCTACTGACATGCAATAATCGTCAAAAGTCTGTGATGTAAACTCCAGTCAAATCGACTTGATCGGATAATCAGGGTGGTGAGCCCTTAGCTTAATGATTTGAGATAGGAGTCAAGCAAATGTGGCATTGCATGTGGACAACAAGCAAACATGTGATCATCGTGTCAATGCATCAACCAACACCGTAAGTATCTAAATGGTCCGTAGGTTTGTTGGATAAGTCCACAAATGTCCCCTTGAATCCTCTAAAGAAATTTAGGAGGGTCGTGAATAATCTTTGTATATGAGGGTTGAGTATTCAACTTCCCTAAAGAACACACTTTACAAGGCAAGAGTCCAACATAAGGATGTAACTTATGCCCGTGTGAAGATTTGAGGATACGACGCATCATGTCACGTCCAGGATGTCCCAAATGGTCATGCCAAAGCAAAAAAGTATCCAGGAACTCAGGCATAGGGCCAGCCACACTGTGGGCTTTTATGCCACAAATGGTTGTGATGTACAACCCATTTAGCAAGCATTCAAACTTCTCGTGAATATGCTTCTAGCTATATTCATACGAAGTGATACAAAGAATTTCAGAACCATGATCTTCAGTGGTTTCAAGATGATATTGATTATCTCAAATATCTCTAAAACTCAGCAACGTTCTTCCGGAATGTGGAGAATAGACTGCTTCCTTAATGGTCAAAATTGTACCATTGGACAACATGATACGTGCCTTTCTGTATCCTTCAATCAGGTTGGATGAGCCTGAGAGAGTTGTCAAATGAGCTTTCTTGGGTATGAAGTTAGTAAAATAGTGTTTTTCACGCAAGACGATGTGCATGGTTGCACTATCTGCCAAACAACTAACTTCCCTATTAGACATACATAGAAATAAATTGATTGAATTGGTCACATGCATAGATATAAGTCCATTCATTCAATTAAGCAATTCGAGAGAATAATATCCATTCAAATAACAATCCATAATTCAAAACAAACCAAAACCAAACAAATTATTCCAAATACTTAGGAAAATAAGGGGGTAGGGCTGGCCATTCCTAGTAGGTTCGGCCAATAGAGGTAAACACCCTAAAAAAATGTCTAATTTATTCATCCATAGGCGCTGACGCCTCCTGAAAATCTGATATCTCTATTGATGTAGTTGCATTTTCCGAATAATCCACATGTGCAAAGTTAGACTCAAGATGGGAATGATACTTGGCAATAGCCTCAGGGGAAGCTCGGCATACGTGTGACCAATGATCCCTTGATCCACAACGATAGCATATGTCTAATTTAGTAGAAGCGGGCTGAACGGGAGCTTTGCCATTGTTCTTGAAGTTTAAGGCCTTAGGGGCGAGTGGTGGACTCTGTTAGGTCACATTTCTTCCCTTAGGTACGACACTCTATTGACCTTGGGCACATGGTTGGACTTGTCGCCCATTGCCACGGCCACGACGATTCTTTCGTCGTTGATGGCTGCTAGAATAGGTCACATACGCTTTAGGTGCGGTGTTCGAGCCAGTGGGTTGGGCTTGATGATTCTTCATCAGAAGCTGGTTCTGCTTTTCAGCAAGAAGTAAAATAGAGATCAAATCCGAAAACTTGGTGAATTTTTGTGCCTTATATTGTTGCTACAAGACAATATTGGTGGCATGGAAGGTCGAATAGGTATTCTCCAGGAGATCTGATTCAGTTAGTTCCACTTTGCATAATTTCAACAAAGAACGAATTCTACAAACTTCAGAATTGTATTCATTCACAGACTTAAAGTCCTGAAAGCGAAGATGTGCCAGTCGTGTCTTCCTTCAGGCAAGTATATGTCTTTCTGGTGATCAAAACGGTCAGCCAGAGCAAGCCAAAGGGTACGTGGGTCCTCCTCAGCAAGATACTCAATTTGCAATGCATCATGGATGTGTCTTCGAATGAAGATCATTGCAATAGCCTTCTAAACTTCGTCAACAGGTTGTCGGCGATAGGTGCCTCGATGGTGGCTCTAATGCCCTTTGTAGTTAAATGGAGCTTCACGTCTTGAACCCACTTTAGATAGTTTCTTCCAGAGACTTCTAGAGCAGAGAAATCGAGCTTGTTCAAGTTCAACATGTCCCTAAAACAAAGGGAAAAACGTGAGTAGTCATATGGTAAGCCATAGACATATATCGTAGAACATACAGGTTCTATAAACATGTATTGGTTTAATTTATGCATGAAAACTACAGGTTTCATGTGGTATGTTTTGAATGAAAACTTCGGGTTTCAAAGGCACTAAATTTGAAATTACAGGTTCAATTTAGTTTTATGAACAATTAGTTCATAATGAGAGGTTCCTGCAAAAAACACAGAATGCAATATACTAGTTTGAATATAGTGGATTTGAGGATCTTCGGGAATTCAAGTGTGAGAGCTTCGTTACTACGAAAGTATGTGATGGTTCAAAGTATAAAAATAAATTATTGAATCGTTAATGTCCAAAAGTGATCTTCAGATCAATAATTATGGATTCATTATCAGATTAATGGACTGCATGTCACTTTTAATTAATTCAATAAATCAGGCCATACGGGGTCGATTATAGAAGTTAGATAATATTAAAATAATATTATTGGATCAAAAATATAGCCCCAAAATAATTTGGGCTTGGTGTCGTGGATAAGTATAAGGCAAGGCCCAAAAAAAAAAGGACCTTGGGTCATGGCTGCAGGCCACGGGGTGGAAGAAATCCCCTAGTCGTAGCTGGGTTTTCATTTGGGCCGAATGAGGGTGCACAGGACAAGGCCCAGTAGGAACTGGCCTTGTGGGTGATGCACAGGAGGATAAAAACCCAACCCTGTGGGCTGGCATGTGGGTTTGAGTGAAGGCCCAGCCTTAAAAAGGCTAGTGTCATGGCTGCAGGCCAATGCAACAAGATGGGCATGGGACTTCAAGTCCTACCGAGGTGAGTGCCAGGCTGAGGCTTGGTGGCTGCTTCCATAGTGATGGTGCGATGGTATGACGCACCATGTCCAATTCCCTTTTTTTTTTTTTTTTTCAAGATCCCTTAGGGTTTAGCAAAAACCCTAAATATACTTCTAATTTATTTTGTATAGTTTGACTCACAAATTCCACATAACAATTTAATTGTGCGATGCATGAAACAAATATATATATATATATATTGACAAATATATAAACATATACAATAGAAGGGTTCATGCATCATGGGGAATGTTTTCATGCTTCGTGGACGTTTCAAATAACTTCTTTTATTTTAAGCGTACCTGATTAGCAGAAAACAAATAAGCCTTTGAATTTGGTGGATGATAGCCTCCTCCTACGATGCGTCAATTCCTCAGCTTCTGGCAAGAGGGTGATAATAATGAGTTGTAGGCCTATTTGATTGAACGATCTAGGGTTTAGAGAAAGAGAGGGGAGCCGACTACAATAAGAGAGAAGAAAGATTGATTTAATAGTGAGGTGTGTTTGATTCACCCCATTGTGCCTTTATTTATAGTAGTAGGATAGGTAAAAACCTTTCCCTTTAGGATTACAACATTTAATTGGTAATCTAATCCTAATAGGAATATAAGATATTTTCCCATATATCCTAGGATTTACATAATCACATTCCTATTTTAAATATGACTGCAACAAAAACAAAAAAAAACACAAAAACAAAACCCCCACACACACACTTGGAACACGCTTAGAGCAACAACACAAAACTCTCCTAAAACGAGACTACATATCACAAACAACTCAACCTAAAAATATGTTGGAATGAAATACATATTACATGAGAACGAGGATAGGCCTGGGCCTCTCTTGCATTTTCTTTACTTTGTATGCTTTTGCTTGTAGTTGTTAGCTTTAGCTTTGCTGTTTGTTCAACTCCAATATGGTAATTTTATTTTTGCAAAACTTGTAAACAAGTTTGGTGCTTATAATATAATTCTCTCAAATATTAAATATTTTTTTTCGTTACACTGCTGCTCGCCTTTGTTTACAATATTTCATTCCTATACTAGAACTAGAATTATCCCTAAATTTTTCTCCCATTTTTTATATTATATTTTATTTCTCATATGGCCTAGAGGCCCCTCCTTGCTTCGACTTTTGACTTTGCCATTATTTCATTCAATAGCGGAAAATGAAGACAAACTACGACGATTCTGTAACGGCCAAATTTGAAGTTAAAATTACGGTCGACGATGCGAAGTAACGGTGAAACTCGTTGAGTTCTAGAGAGGCTAAATTACCATAAATATCTACCAAAAACCATGATGTCCAATTAAATAGTTGTATTGGATTTCTAGAAAGCATGATGTCCAGCTTTTGCTGTGTTTTAGTTCAAACAAAATGAACTAGAGGAACATGTTAAAGCTAGTTTTACATGAAAAGAAAAAACCAAAACAAAAAGGTACAAGAACTTACGCTCCTAAATTTAGCCCTATACCCTCCTTGAGTAGCTTGTATATATCATACTCCATTTATTCATTGCTTACTCCAAGAAATTCATTTGTAACCACCTTAGCTTGAATTTGAAAATACACACCATGAGCAATGGACACCACAATGGATATGCAGTGTTCATTGCTTCTTTAGTCATATGTCTCTCATCGTCTGCAGCACCATTTGCAAATGCAGAGAGCGCCTCAACTAGTTATGAGTGTTTGCAAGCAAACCCAAAACCAATTCGGCTACAACCATAAACCATGCGTAAAATCCTATGGAAAGATATTCCAAATCGTTCAGTACCTAATCTCAAATATGTTGGTGTAGTCATTGTTACCTTAGCACTTGAGCTTCCTAATTCACTATCTACGATGATGTTTTTTGTCATGTTATAATGGGATGTTGCATTCCTTGTTACTTCCGAATTATGAGATATCTAGGAAAATATGTGCGAATAATGTACTAAAATTTGAACGTAATTACATATGAAAGAATGTATCTGTCATTACTATATATCGGAAACCCTAACTAAAGGTTTGAATTATACTTTGCCTCAGTTACAGCTTAAACTTTAAAAACATTAGTGAACGAAGTTTGTTTGTCAAAGGTATTTGAGTTGAAGGAAATTAACAACATACGGCCATGGAACTCCACTGGTTAAAATCATTACATAAATAACGGTTAAACGGCATAAACAAATTACCTTGGCAACATCGTTTCTTTTTTTACCCTGAACAAGTAACATCTTGCTAAGTAATCTGGATCAAGCATGAAGCGCGGAAGTAAAACAAGTGAATCTACCCTACATTAAACGGCATAAACAAATTACCTGAATGCAATCTTTTGCAGTCAAGGTTCCACCAAAACGATCACCAACCATATTTGGAAAGCATCGTCGAAAGGGAGAATCTTAAGGCTTGGGGACAGTAACATTCAGAATTTTCACGTCTACTTGGGGCCTTTCTCCCCTGTCTGTCTTCACTTTTTCTATAGTCTGCATACAATAAGATGGGTGTCAGACGTTAATTAACCAGTCACACTGGGGGACCTCATACTACTAGCTGTGATTCACGAGTAAAAGGTATACATAAATTCCCGTCATCATAGGATAATTTCCAAGTTTGCAAGAAAAACAAAATGTCTTTTGGCAAAGAACATTTCGTCCCAAATCAATGACTAATTTTCAGGCAATTTAAAATCTCTTCCTCTCCACTCTCCCTCCTTCCACTACTCTTCGTGAAGACTGCACAGGCAGGTGATGACTCTCCCTCTCCCCATCTCAAGGAAAAGAAAAAAAAGAAAGACCACATGCAGATGATAAACACAAAAACCAAGGCTCAATAGTACCTGCACGACATCCATCCCCTTGATAACTCTGCCAAAAACTGTGCTTGTTATCAAGCCAAGGAGTAGCAACTGTGGTGATAAAGAACTGAGATCCATTTGTGTTTTCGCCCGCATTTGCCATTGATACAGTGAAAGGCCTGTCATGTCGTAAACTGCAAGGAAAGAAAATTTACATCATTGAATACTTAAACCAAAGAATTATGACAATACAAAAAATTGCAAGAGCAAACAGACAAAGTAGAAACTTTGACTTCTTTGCAACCTAACTCGGTCCATGAAATTAAATCTTTACCTTTTATGAAATTCATCCTCAAACTCCCGTCCCCAAATAGATTGCCCACCAGTACCATCTCCTAAAGGATCTCCTGTTTGTATCATGAAGCCTTTGATGACTCTATGAAATATGAGGTTATCATAATAGCCATTTCGGCAGTGTGTTGTGAAGTTCTCCACAGTTTTTGGGCATTCCTCTGGATACAATTTCATGTGTATGTCACCCATTGTAGTACGCAAAATCTGAGGAAGAAGAAAATAGAATATTAGACACCTAATGCTGTAGCATATCCCGAAGAATACAGCTAAACAGAACATGATGTATGAAAACAAAGCAATGCTGAACCCATACATCTTCATGAGAAACAGGTCACACAATTAAGAAGATGCACATCCAAAGATCTAAACCAGAAAACAAACCAGAACTAGTGGATTTAAGTCAAAAGACAGTGAAGTTACACATCCAAAGATCTATACCAGAAAACAAACCAGAACTAGTGGATTTAAGTCAAAAGGCGGTGAAATTATATACTTTTGCTCAGATGACGATATTTAGAAAAGATAACACGACATAAAAATTTCCATTACATTAATAATTTGGGTATTCATTCATCCAATTATCAAATAATTTCCAGATGAGAAAATATAAGAAATTAAAACATAACTATTAACTAAAAGAAAAACGTATGTTGGAATGGATAACAAGAATTTCACCTTGAAAATAAATGCCTTTTCTCATGAAGACAATCAAAAACTCCTTTTTTGAAAGAGGAAAGTATTTCAAAAATAAAAAAATATATATAAACATGAATGAATGGTAGGCATGGCACACAAAGCCGCACCACTTAAACACCACATCCCATATATTCACACCATAATTCACACCACCGACACATAAATCCCTCTAGCTAGCCATTCATCCATTAAAACACCCAATTTCGTCCAAAGTTGTTTGGAGTCTTTAAATCTGTTTGCTTTTACTTTAATTTCGTCAAAACCAATCCCCCCTTTAATATTTCGTGTTTACTTGGTTAGAACCTGTTTTAATTTGTTTCTTTTAGTGTTTTGAGTCAAAGTTAAGTTAGAATTCGTCCAAAGTAATCCTTAGTTTCTGTTTTGAGTCAATTTAACTTCGTTTGTGTGTTTTGAGTCAATTTAGCTTATTTTGAGTTGTTAGAGTCTAGTTTTCTGTTTTTGAGTCTAGTTTAGTGTTTTTAGAGTTTAAATTGTGTTATTAGCATCCCTCCTAATCCCCGGCCTAGAACGATCCCTACTTACATCTTTACTACAATTGTCCAAAGAGGGTTTAATTTGAGTGCTAGCCGGGGAATTGTAATTTTAAAGGGAATTGTAATTGGCACTCCAAACTTTCAATAGTTAGAAAGAAAAATACACTTGTGAGAAGTGCACAATTAGATTTTTGGAGTTCCACTAGCAGTTCTCTTTTTAAAATGTATTTGTCAATTCCTTATTGTAGGTCTAAAAAAAAATTAGAACCAAACAAGTCTGATATCATCTTCTCCTTTTTCTTTCTCTTTCTTTTATTTTTCTTTTGTAATTTGAGAATGATAGCATACCAAGATACAAGAGAATCAAGGGTTATTATTGAAAATTTAAGAAAAGTACAAGTAAAATGGAGGAGAAGACAATCACATCCAAGATACAAGGAAAAACAAACTTACCACATTGTCAGGTAGAGACGTTGTAGCTGATTTACCAATCTCTGATGCAGCCAAGAGTTCATCAGCAGGAGGCTTTTCGTTGAATATATCTCTTCCCTTAGTTGCATCTTCAGGCTCTTCTGGTTCTCGCTGACTGAACAGAGCACGAGGAAGTCAGATCAAATTAAAAATGCAGAATCACAGTTCCATAACACCAGAATATAAAGTAGTCACACTAATGGGTGAGATATGCAACCGACAATAACTATATGAATACTTCAATCTTATATCCCAAATCATAATCCAATTTCTTCTTTCCAAGAACTTTTACCAATATCAAGATCTCCTCCAAGTACAAATCTGGGCCAGAAAAATATCAGCATGCAATAACTTGGGCATCCAATCATCATTAGCCATGTAGTAATGAACCAAAAGCATAAGCTTAAAAGAAGAAAAAACAATAACAGACAGGTGTTTTCGAGGTTGTCTGAAGTATTTTAGTACCTGAATAGATAGATTCTGTGTTTTTTGAAAGCACAACATATGAGAGTAGGATCTGTCAAAGGCTCTTTGCTTTCATTAACATTTGCTGCAGCAGCAGGAATTTTTCTAACTTTTTTACTGCTTCTGTCACCTTGGTATAAGGCAATTCTCAAAAACCTATCATTATTCTCCACTTTTCCGAGAATTCGGGAAACTTTATTGGTGTGTAAATTTACCACCTGAAATAGAAAAACAAAATTAAAACAGAACAAATTAGTTTCCTTCTTTACTCAAGAGAAGTAATGGGAAGGGGGAGAGGACAGTCCAACTCTATTATATTACTTTTATTCCAAGGAGAGTTGCATATATGAGAAAATTTGAGCTTTCATCAAAAACTGCATTCGGCTGTGGGGCAAATTCTGTTTTCTCAATTTCCCTCTCAACAGCCATTCTTCGCCCAAAGTCGATAGCTTCCAGCTGGTACAAAGGCACATCACTTCTCTGGAGATCTTGGGCCACCTAATCAGTGCAAGATGATCAATAGGAGTGTTAAAAAAACAAAGATTCTTAAAAACATTAGAGATTAACATACATACAATAAAATGTTCAGGTAAAAAACTGATGTTACCTCGAGAGTTTCATCATAAACTCGTCGTAGTTTTCCTGTGCTAAACCAAAATACACGTATCCTGCGATCAGGTGATGTAATTGAAAATTGCTTACCATCCGGGCTAACCTGAGGAACCAAAGAGATTTTGTAACAAATTTCTTTCGTCATACATCAGCTATTAACAAAGTGTGGAACAAACCAAAACAAAACAAGTTTGAGCTTTATCTAAATGCTATTAACAAAGTGTGGAACAAAACAAAACAAGTTTGAGCTTTATCTAAATGTACAAATAGAATGAGTTCATACTTCATAAGGATCAAAAGCCTGAAAAAGTTAAATCGATTTCCAACAGTACCTCGATAGAAGAAACGGTAGTTTTGCATTTCGGGATTTCAAACAGATTAGTATCACTTTTCATTCTGAACTTCACCCTGCAAACACCACATGAAAGCAGTATAGTTCTATTAGGAAGTGAACAAATTAAACACTTGATTAGTAAATCCTTAATGAACAGATGTCATCAGAATTGTGTTATTTGCTATGCTAATGAGAGAAAAGTGAGTAGAGAACAAAAAAATATGCACACAAAATGTAATTGCCAACACTCTCAAAAACAGCACATGTTGAATTCTCACTGGCAGTCTCTCTCTATTTTCTAAAAAGCTGGCTTAGTTATATTTGACTAGGATAAAGGTAAGCAAAACTTGGTAAGTTTGACTGCTCTGACTGCAACAGTAGAACTATTGTCTTACCACAATTTTATACCGAAACCAATCTTACAGGAACTGTGAAAGCTGATCATATGAACTTATCATCCTCATATAGTTTTCACATAAAAATTTGGTGTACCTTCATACAGTTTCTCTACCATATTGATGACGGAAAATTATCGTATTAACATGCCAAGGTGCACATACCCAGTCTCTGGAAACTTAAGGGTGTCAGGACTCCAATACTCAATCATTCCCTGTTGATCAGCTGAAATCACTGTATCAAATACAGGATTATACCTCATAACTTTCACTGGGCCCAAGTGTACCTGAGGAATGGATTAAGAAAAGAAATGGAAAACAAAATTGGAAGTTCAATTTGTTTAAAGTAGGTACATATTCTTCTAATAAAAATATGATTCTGAAGGGGAAAAAAATATGTAGAAATATGATTCTGAAGGGGAAAAAAATATGCCACTTCCAACATTGCAACAACATACCTCTCTGGAGATAATAGGTTCATTTGTACCAGACCGTGCATCGAAAATGTGTACATATGATGAGTTCCTGTCACTGATGGCAAGCCTGGCTTGACATCCCCTTGTTTGTAGACCCACTCAACAGCACCAGGAACAAACTCTGTGCGAATCATGACCATCATATCGTAGTTGACTACGTCATATATCTTCACAGACTTGTCATTTGAAATTGTACAGCAAAGCAAACCATCAACACTAACCTGCATAGCTGAACAAGTTAAGGTTGATGACTGCAATACAGGGAGTTTGAAATCTACATAAAATCATTAATAACCAAAGAAATCAAAAAGGTCGGCTGGCGCACGCAAATAAATAGGTGAGCAACAAACTGAAAATTACAAACCAAAAACAAAAAATCCTCACATATCAACACACACAAATCAGGTCGTTCATGTATATGCCATGACCATGAGTTAGAGGAACTAAGAAAAACATAAGAACTAAACATGGTTATGGACAAACTTTTCTCGTTACCATCAGAGTCTGAAATTTGAGGACACAGCATCCGAAATCACTTTTATTTAGTACCAAAACTGGGGATCGAAAAAAAAGGAAAAACAAAAAGCGCAGCTAACTTTGAATACAAGGAATAACAGGATGACAACTAGTTCTCTACACAATAAACTGAGTGTACAGAGCTTGTCTGCTTGACAAACATATCCTCTATCAAACAAGATTAGAAACAGATAACTGTACCACATTAATTAGAGAGCCAAAACTTCAGCTAACTGTGATTAATACAACCTAACACATATTCAGGAATCCTAAGTTTCACGTACAAACTAAAACAGGAGAACAATATGCAGCTTTTATGTGTATGATGTTGTATTAAGGATAAACCTACTTCAGATTGCATGTTCAGAGTCAACCCAATATTTAGAAAGAAAGCAGTGATCAATCTAAAAGTAAAATACGGCAGAGTACACATGTAGTAATGTGGAGGAATAACTCACAGCTAGGCCTTCAATTGGACCAAGGTGGGACCTAAAATGCTTTGCAAACTCAATGCCAACAGCCTTTTTCTTCCAAAACTTCAAATGTCCTGGTAGAAAAACAAAAAACAAGAATAAGGAATGGAATCATACGTAGCTTACAAATAGAAGAAAACCAAAAAGGTCATAACGCAAGGTCTTATGAGTAACATCATCAATTCCCCAGTCCAGGTAGTAATATGAATTAAATTGCATATAGTTAGAAGGCAATAAAATATAAATTCAGGCCATATTACTGCAATATTTAGTGGCAGAAGGAAACTTATACCCATCCTTGTATTTACACACTTATTTTGAAAATCAGGAAGTCCATTCCATGATATTTCAGGATGTAAACATAGACATAGTATGCTGGCTACGCAAATCTCGTTCGACTCAAACACACACTTCATCTAAAATGCATACTTCCATTTTACTAAAACACATAGGAGTCATGATCCAAAAGCATACTTCCATTTTACTAAAACACATAGGAGCCAAAATTAGGCTAAAGAATCTTTTTTTCTCTTTTTTGCAGACATATATATACTATCAGGCTACATATGGGGCTCGTTTGGTACACATGATTGGACTGCAATGGAGAACTCTCAAATTTCAGGCTATATTGAAGGTGGAAGTGAATGGTTTTTCATTTGGAGGGGATTAGAAGAGGATTAGCTTTGAAGGAAATTCATCCCTTCTAATCCTTCCATTTTAAAGAGAATTGCAATGGTAAGTTTCCTTCATGAGTAATCCATCTTCTATCCTCTTTGATAATTTTATAATTTCTCCCTTCGACATACATTTAATTTAGTAGGCTTATACATTCCAATCCAATCATGCGCATCAAATAAGCCCTTGGTTCCTAAACTTGGAATGGATAGGACTGGATAGCTCACTTGTTCATCTAATTCCCTCAATTTGGATAAAAATTTGGAAGTAGGCCTTCATTTCTTAATTCAACATACCTTGAAAGTGGCAACTTATCCAATCCAATCCAATCCTTCGGACCAAACCTGGGCTTAGAATATATGCCACCCTGCCCTGCACTAAACTCTTACTCACCACAATGTCATCAAAACTTAGCAACCACTGCTTAGGCTACAACTTCTTATCTTACCCACATCACGCTATGTGGATGCACATTAATCACGTTACTCGTACAGTTTTCACAAGAGTAGTAAACTGGGACCTTCCCCAAAATATTTTAAACTTTTGGTAAGCAAGAACTTCCTAATAGAACCACAAGAAGTCATCGAAAAATCAGCATGGACACATAGCCAATTCATTAATTAACACCATATCTACCCAAGTAGCAGATGACATGCACAATACAAGAGAAATAACTTCAAATTAATTTTCGGACATGCAAGAACAGTATGTTGCTATCATTACCATCAATGCTTCCAGTTACGACAAAATCCGCCGATGACACAGCAACATGCGTAACAACGTCACGGTGCATATAACTTTTCTCGTACCTGTTTATGCCACCAAAAATAAGAGAATACAAGAAAAAATTACATGAGAATTGTTCTACCTAACTGCTAATGCTCTTGGCAGGGAGAACCAAAAGAAATCAACATCAAGAATTTGAATTCAACTCATTCGGCCAAAACAATAGGGATCATAACACATGGGATTTGCCCAATTAACACGAGCTGAGTTTCCTAGGGTTTAAGGGTTTATGAAGCCAAACAACAAACTGACATTTTCGAGTAGAAACTAAATTTTGAAACTCCAACTGAATTGCAATACATAATCACGGAAATTCCCAATTCAAACTAAGAATTGGACCAAAAAAACAATCAGGAGACCGAAAGGGGGGGAAATCAATACATACATTAGAGCGGAGGGAAGAGCATCGAGGTAGGCGTGCTCGAACTGGAGGGGCCGCTTGGGGCGAGAGCGAGGGGGTGGGGGTGGGCCGGGACCCACCATGGGCTCCTCCTCGGTCTCCGCCACGCTGTTCAGGGGTTCGGCTACGTCTGTTGCTAGGGTTTCTCCTCCATTCTGAGGCTCCTCCATGGTTGCTCCTAGGGTTTTGCTGGAGACGAAACACTGCAACCGCACCGAGGCAGTAGGTTTTGTAAGGCGAAGCTTGAATTGTTGGAGTGAAAGGAAGGCACTGGAAATCTGGATTTTTTTAATTTAAACAGGGACAATGAAACACCGCCGCCATTTTTCATACGGGGTTCCGGACCGTTACCGGTTCAAGATTGGGCCGGACTCGTGTAATCTTTATGATTAGGAGGATTTTGTCTCTTTGGGCCTAACCACGATTGGTTGTGGACCTATGGTCCTAAGGCTGGCCTGTTTATGTTGCCACCGATTACTATTTCGTTCTTACTTCTATCTTTTATTAGAAATGGTATTAATATTTGAAGCTACTCTAAGGGGGAGTTTGAATGGCGGATGTAGTGGGTTGAAGAGAATGTCATCTCCACCAGGTCATTCATCACTTGCATAACTATTTCGTTTTTAATATCAGAAGGTTTCTTCTAATTATAATGGTTAAAATGAAGCTCTAAAAACAACCTACATTCATGGCTAAAAGAAAGCGTCAAAAGCGATGGTCAATAAAATAAAGCATCATAATCCATTTATTTCCGGCTGGTAAAAAGAAGAATAACTATTTCTATTAAGTAAACGCCAAAAGATTACTACATTTGTTGACCTGTAATGTGGGAAATTTCTTCCATGCTACGTAGTACGTAGCATTCTAAAAATCGGCCTGAACATTTCTTAGGTGTTGGGCGGTGGGGTTCCATGGCCATCTTGGGCAAACAAAATCACTAAAAATCGAGGAAGAACTAGGGAGTCTAAATGCTAGGTTCCAAGTTTTTTTTAATAAACTAATTAAGTTAAAGTGGGTAACGTGTAACCTACCCAAAACACAAAGGGACCCACAAGCTCTCGTGCCGCATATCGCCTCGTCACTTTATGTCTGTGCAAACCCAAAACTCTCACTCGCGCCACATGTCATCTCGTCGATCCTATAAACCCAGACTTGATTAGTTGATTCTACAAACCCAGAAGCTCTATGCAAACCCATGCTTGATCAGTTGATCTTACAACCTCCATCGCTCTACCTCTGTGCTATATATCCATTGCTTCTGTAATTTGAAAATACTCTGTGATTTAGACTCGACATGCATCTCTCGAAACTCGTTCTTATCTGGAGCGAATCGTGATTGATGAGATGAGAGTCGAGACCCACTAACCACTGTCAAATTATTCTCTTCCTTTATAAATAATGCAAGACTTTTGAATTGTTAGTTTGCTTACTAAATTACAGTCATGAGGCTTTTGAAAGTGTGAATAGACACTTATTTATATGATACAATAATAAATTTACTTAAATTCGCTTAGGACCTAACCTGTTGCTCAACTAGCGTCTAGCATCTTTTAAAATCACGTTACATAACATTAAATGCTACGAACATTGGATGCTCTTTACATTGATTTTGATTATTGCCTTTTATTTTGGTCCCATGGATCCAAGCCATCCAATGCTCATAGCATTTAATGTCACGCCCGGATCCCGACGTACATCCAAGATCGACACGTGACATCACCAAGTACCTGTATATCTAACATACCTGCCTTGGGGATATGGACAAAGCACAACTCAAGATTCGAATTGCATAGTAATTTTTTGTTTACTTTATGGTTGCATGTAACCTCTTTGTTAGACTACATACGTACCTTCCGACGAGATCAAGCCATTCGTAGTTCACCATTTGTTAAACTCTGAACTTTTAGTAAAACACTTCCTACCAAAAAAACATATAGTACCACACTACACATCAACCATAAGCCAAACAAGAGCTGCCATCTTGCCATTCACACACACATATGCTTTCCATCACCATTCCACAATCACATCAATTAATAACTCATACAATACACCAACATACAGGGCTAGAGTGACACAGTTTGGCCGAAGCCTACATCTCTAAACTTTCTCAATTTAGACCAAATCTAACGAATCAACTAAGTCAAGGATGTGATCTCATACCACTCAATGAAATCCACCATCGGGTTTGGGGTTTCTAACCACTCAATGGAACCAAAATACTAAGAGGGATTTCATACCACTTAACGAAATCCAAACCAGAATATGATTCCGAATCACTCAACGGAATTGCAAAGTAAAGGGGATTCTAGACCTCTCAACAGAATCCGAGTGGATACAATTCCGAACCACTCAACAAAATCACTGAGTACAATGGATATCAGACCACTCAATGAAATTCAAAACAGGATACGATTTCGGACCAGTCAACGGAATTGCGGAGCACGAGGGATTCCTAACCACTCAACGGAATCCAGATGGAGTAGGGAACCAGCACTCAACAGAACCCCAACGGAATCCAGTTCCGGACCATTTAACGAAACTGAGCGGAAGTCCAAAAAACATAACCACGACTCGAAGAAACAAGACATAATCAAGTTACACAATTCATGAAGGCTCAATGAAATGAAACAAAGCACAAGTTACACAATTTAGAATGGCTCAATGATGGAAAAATGAAACAAGAAACGAGATATGAAACAAGTTTTGAAGCAACAAATCCCCATGTCAATGGGTTATCAGTCCATTACTAGCCTCACATTTCACAAAAAATTCACATGCATTTCAAATCACATTTCACAAATATTTCCAATCCATAAGTCAAATCACATTTAATAAAAATAGATCGATGGCTAAATATAAAATAACAATTTAATATAAAACACAGTTCTAAAATCATGTCGTATCCACAAAGAATACTAACATGGAGATTTCAGGGTAATAACCAGATCACATATATTAAAGTCACTCATCGAGATAAGCCCGCAAAGCCTCACTGAGTCTCTAGTAATACTAATTTTAGAACTTAAGGACGATTACAAACATGTGGATCAAAGTCAACCCTAGTAATTCAATTCATCAAGATTCATATGTTGGACTCCCAATATGTCAATTCCTAATGTCCTGAAATATTACGTACTATGTACTAAAGTTTGGTGTCATCCAACGGTCGGATCGTCGATTCATATAATAATCAAGTGGCGTACCATAATGAAAATAGGTTCAAACAATCAAATCTCATCAAACAAATATAAAATATGAAATCAGGACATCTAATTTAAGTTAAAAAGGCATTGTTGGCCTACTGGCCACGCGCCACTGCACGCGCCGCGGCAGGTGATGATTTCCGGAAACAAAAACCCAATTTTTAGACAAACTCCAAAAATTACCAAATTTTACATAATTGTAGAACACAACAAGGGGAAGAACTTTCATACCTGGACTGAATTCCAATTCGACTGGAAAATACCTGGAATTGCCATCGATCCGTTGAAACCCTAGAAATGGGTGTTCTTGATTCGACTCCAAAACAAGCTCTGACGCCTCAACCAACCTATAGGCATTGTTCCTATGGTTAAAAGGAGTTGATTGATGGTGGTAATTGACTGTAATACTTTTAGGAATGACAGATCGCTGCCATAGACCTCTCGGCGCCAACAACACCATTCTTCAAGAAAATGAAGCCAATCCTTGTCGAGTTTGGGTGAAAATGGAATAGGGATCGACTAGGTTCAAAGTGGAGATCAATATGGCAGTGGTCCTATCGTCAATGGTGGTCGGATTAGGGAGATACAGAGTTGGGTCGGGTCAGCGGGTTGAAAAGGGTTCGGGTTAGCTCGTTCCTCCCTCATTTCTGTTCCCTCCTTTCTGATTGGCCAGTGTCTCTCCTCCTTTCCCTCCTTTCTCTTCTCTTCTTCCCATCTCAGTCGTACACGTGGCACCCATATTGTTGCTCCAGCAAATCTGGAACCTTCTAGATTAGTGGTTAATTACTATTTTACCCCTGTATTTAACCACTAATTTCTCTTTCGTTAAAACTCCGTTTCACAAACCTTTTCTTGCATGCGCACTTGTGAGGTTGAGCTCTATCCCAAATATGTAAATAAAAGTGACAAAACATATAGGAATTAAATACGTCCTCGAAAAGTTTGTTTAGTTCATTAAGGGCATTTTTTCCTTTTACTTACTGAAAAAAAAAAAAAAAAAACTATAAGCCGTAATTATAAATGTGTTGAAACTAAGAATACGAAATATGTAATTTTAAATAGTGAAATCCGAGGATGGGATTTTACATTTAATGCTACGTAACATCGAAGTGGAACGCATGTATGTTATAACTTCAAGTCAATTTGAAGTAGGTAATGTGTTCATTAAGTAAAATCAATAATTTGACCATTTGTAATGTGACAACTTAAAAAATAGAAAAGAATCTTAATATGTGACATAGTTCGGGTTTGGTAACAAGTTATTTTGACAGGTCAAGTTCATAGTTGACTTTTTGAATTTGTTAATGAGTTAACATAACATGACAAGTTAAAATAATAAATTGACACAAGCATGGCAAAGATGACCCATTTGCTAGTTTAAGGGGCAACTAATGGAACATTACATCAACAAAATGAGACTAAAAAAATAAAGTAAACAATAAGAGCCAGTAAACTATTCATGACAATAACAGATTTGAAAACTCAATCCAGCTTTGCTAACAACAAATAGAAGATACAAACTTAAAAAAAGGAGGAGAAAACAAAGTGATGCAAACAAAATGTGGATGTTACTCATCCAAAAACAAAATAAAAATTAACGGAGATGAATGAAACTTAGCAAGCAAGCAACCAAGACTCATGTGAGGTAGGTTCTCTTAAAGAGCGAAACAAATTTGAATAGTAGCTCTCAAACACCTGCCCAAATCTCAAACCCCATCTCCTTCCAAACCGAACACTTCACATGGGAAGGCGGCCCAAACACACATTTCACAATTTCTCACAACCACTCTAAATTCCATCCAAACGATGAACGCTCCAAGGGCTCCCGGCGCTGCCACTCCCCCCGGGGGGGCCGGCGCGGGGTGGGGCTGCGTTGTTATGAGGCGGATCATTAGATGGTGGACAACGGAAGCCCAGCGGATGTACCAAGCCGTCCGAAGTCAATGTCATTGCTTATGTTCATATTGTCGGGATTTCAACACCAGCATTGACTTTGGAAATTTGTGAATTAATTTAGTACATGTCGGTTTACCAAATCATATGTGGCCACATAAATTAGGCCACCCCATATAAAGATGAAGTGTTTA